TTCGTTATCAAACAAAGCCGTCCAGTCACCTTCACCCACACGTGAAAGCCAAACTCATACTCCCTGACCCGCCCCACACCCCCAAGACACCCTGGCAAAGTCTGTTCCGTTGCAAAGGCAGAGAGCGGAAGCCGGAAGAGTCGACTCAACGCGAGACCGGAAATCGTGGTGCATTGTGGGAACCAGTTCGTTGTTTATAACCGTGACTCCCGCGTTACGAGATACAACCTACAAGAAAAGGGCTGAATTTGGAGGGTGATATAGAAAGCTTGGAAGCACTGTGGAGGAAGCTTTGTGCAACTTTTAGCTAGACCTCGTCGGTTCACGACTGCGCAAGCAGCACGGGCCTCCCCGCAGTGAGCTAGACTAGACGTCTCTATGGTCGAGTAAACCTAGAGCGGTTCCTTGTGCCTCGCGTGGTCACGTTGCGCAGGCGCGATAGCCGCAGCGTTGGAAAAATGGCAGAGCAAGAGTGAGTATTTGGGGTTTAAATCGCTGGAGTGGGGTTTTCCGTATCCGCTGCCATCCACGGTGTTTGTTCTGAAAATAAGGATGCTGAAAATAAGGATGCTTCTGGACTGAAGGGAGAGAATAGAAAAGGCTCCAAGCTTCAGAGCTTTGGGGGGATGGAGCCGCAGGGTGGAGCTGGCGGATAGAGGGTGCTGCGGTCAAGCTTGGGTTAACTTCCGGAGCGACGATTAATTTTTCACGCAGGAGATGGAGAGTACTAGAGTTGGGGGTCACCACCCTGACTGTATTCTCTCCAAAGGTGAGTCTGCTCCCGCTCCAGCCTCACGGGAATTTACCACATCTGATCGCTGCTCGTGTCATGAAAGAACGGTAATAAAAGTGCCATTGACGTGTACGAGGAGCAGTGACCAAGGAATTCATGACTTAAAGAAGACTTTAGGGACAATTTAGTGCTGAAAAGCGGAGTCAGAAACCACAAATTCCAGCGAATGTATCTTTTAAGGAACCTGAGAACTTAAAAGTTGCTTCCTGAAGCCCAGGAAATGGTTTAGAAGATTTGTTTCCTAAACAGTGTCAATTTTCTGTATTAGGCAAAGAAAAAAGATCCCTCTGGTTCCAGAAAATCTCCTGAAAAAGAGGAAGGCTTATCAGGCCCTCAAAGCCACCCAGGCAAAGCAGGCACTTTTGGCAAAGAAGGAGGTAAGGATAGAGAACGAGGAGGAATGAATTAGACTTTGTGGTGAATGTTATCCAGCATCTGTTGAACTGTTATAGACAGTGCCTTCCACCATCATTCAGTTAGTACCGATCTTGTCTTTACATTTTAATACATATTACATTTAATATTTACCCAATGCTTTCTGCCCACAAAATACCAGTTTTTTTTTAATATACATATATATTTTTTTAATTTATGCATACAAGAACTGGGGTGTAGGCCACAGGTGGGGCGGGGGGGAGAGAGAGGATTCACCAGAGACAGAATGGAGAGCAGAACCTGCAGACTTGCTGAAATATACTGCTGAGGGGAGCAGCAGGCAGGGACAGGAGAGGTCTGGGCCATGTGGGTCACCTCCCTGGCCAGGATCAACTCATGTTGCATAGTGCCGAGCCTTTTTTTAACCCCTACACCTACAGAGAAGCTCAAAATACTAAAGTTTATTAAGGAAAAAGTAGAGTGGAGACTTCTTTCATGTTCATACTGAGAAACCAATATACCTGTGTACCTGGAAGAAAACTCTTCTTTCTGGAAGAGAACAAGTTTGCTTGTTTGGTAGTTGATCATGCGTGATACAATGTTAGGTTCCATAATCACTTGTTGGTAAACATTGGATCAGCATGCACAGTAGTTTTGGATTTCTTCATCTGGACCCTTTCAAAATGATAATGGTTTGCCTCCTCTGCAGCAGAAGAAAGGGAAAGAATTCAGGTTTAAACGACTAGAATGGTTCCTACATGATTCCTGGCGGCAACGACGTGACCACGTGCGCCTAAAACGACTAACTGTGAAACCTCATGGCTTAGAAGTGCCAGATCAACATTCCTTGGCTTTTGTTGTACGCATCGAAAGGTAGGGAACCTGCCAGATTCTGTGAGGCTGGGTAAACTATTAGCTTAGTGTTAGACCCCTTTCTAGGGAGTTGAAGAACTAGCAGCCCTTAAGCTTCTAAGGCAAGTTGTGCTAGGAATTCAGGGTTGAGCACAATGTAGACTTGGTCTCTTCGAGGTTGGGGAGACTAACCTCAGGCAAGTAAACACAAAGATAGTCTCCCTGCCTGTTCTGAGGGTGAAGAACCAGATGCTGGGGCAAAGTTGCTAAGGCCTAATGTGGAGTGGTTGAGGATACTCTCTAAAGCAAAAACTTGAGGATGAAACCTGCAAACATAGGAGGTCACCTATATTGGGGGGAAGACTTTCCAGGTAGAAATGAAAAAAGCACTGAAGTGGAAGAGTCAGGCGGGTGGAACATGCTTGGTGCTGGAATTAGTGCACGAAGCTTTTTCCACATTTAGAGCTGCATGCACATCTCTCACTCTTCTTCACCACCCAGTTACCCAAGCCAGAAACCCGTGGGTTTGAAATATTTATGAGCTTTCTTTACTAGCCCTCCTGTCTAACCATAATCTCTTCCTAGAGTATCGCATCAACTCTCAAGCTGGGTTTCCTGCCCCCACTGTCACATGCGGATCTGTATTGTGTGTTCTCAGTGATGGTCAGAAAGAAATCTGATCTTGTCTCCTTTACTTGAAACCTTCCATAACTTTTACTGCCTACAAGAGCAAGTTCAATTCCTTAGCTTGCCTTGCACAGCCCCCCACTCACAGATGTGTAGGGACCATCTCTGTTCCCATATCATTTTGCTCATACCAGGCCTTGCCTCTGTCACATAGAAATGGTCTGTTTACATAGCTGCCTCCCACTCAGCTGAGCGCTGGTAAGGCAGTCTGTGACCTCTCTGGGTGCCCAGTAGTAACACACATTTCACAGATGCTTGCTGGGCTGACAGAAATTGAATAGTCTAACTTCTCTGCCATTCTTTTCAGCATTAAAGGGGTGAGTTTACTAGTGAAAAAGACCATTGCTAGACTTCGCCTGAAAAAGATTTTCAGTGGTGTCTTTTTTGAAGTGACTCCTCAAAGCATTAAAATGCTTCGAACAGTGGAACCTTACGTGACCTGGGGGTGAGTAACTTTTTTTTTTTTTTTTAAGATTTATTTATTTATGCATGCAAGAACTGGGGTACAGGCCAGAGGTGTGGGGGGTGAGAGGATTCATCAGAGACAGAATGGGGAGCAGAACAGGCAGATTGATGAAGTACCCAGAGACAGATGGAGACTAGAACAGACAGATTGACTGAAATACACTGCTGAGTGTGGAGCAGTGGGTAAGACAGGAGAGGTCTGCTGCACCGTGTGGGTCACTTCAGCACTCTGCAGTGGCTGCGGTAGCTTAATAGCTCAGACTTGAATCCCTGAACCCCATGGAGGTCTGGAAATGGATTTTTTTTAACCAGTGAAGATAAATATTTTAAATAAATATAGTAGTTTTTTTAAATAAATATAATAGTATATTTTTAATCATTTTATGCCTTTTTCCATCTCAGTTGTAATCCCCGTGGGCTTCCCATCACCAGATCACCCATATGCCATCACCACAGTCCAGTGCATTTCCCTCCCCCACTGTTTTTGATCCCATTCCCCACTCCACCCCCATAAAATGTCTCTGGTCTATAGCTGTTTGTTGTTACTATTTTCTCGCCTGGTCCGTTACACTCCTGCTATGAGTGAGACCATCCGGTATTTTTCCTTTTCTTTCTGGCTTATTTCACTAAGCATGATCTTTTCCAGTTCCATCTATGTTGTTGCAAAAGGCGTGCTAACCTGGTGAAGATTTTTATCCGTTAATTGTATTTCTCATTGCATGCTCTGGTTTGTATCCCCTTATGTATTCTTAAACATCCCAACTATAGTCTCTTTGCAGAACACTTGCTGTGAGGGGAAGGGATGGTTAGGGTCGAGTACCCAGTGAATGCAGAGTACTAGGACTGGTTAAGTTGTGCTTTAATCTGTCTCATATAGATTCCCAAATCTGAAGTCTGTCCGGGAACTCATCTTAAAACGTGGACAAGCCAAGGTCAAGAATAAGACTATCCCTCTGACAGACAACACAGTGATTGAGGAGCATCTGGGTGAGTCTTGAGTTAAATACAGAATACTGTGTATTCACACTAAAATGGGTACTTGGGGCAGAAAGCAAGGATCTTTAGTGGTCTTGATGTGGGATCCAGCTCATACTCTTCTTGGGATTTTAAGACCTACCCAGCTGGCATATAAGTTTATATTGGGTAAATGTCAAGTAAAGGAATCTGTACTGTTATGTTTCTTAGGGAAATTTGGTGTCATTTGCTTGGAAGATCTCATTCATGAAATTGCCTTCCCGGGAAAGCATTTCCAGATGATCTCAGGCTTCTTACGCCCTTTCCAGCTGTCAGTGGCCCGTCATGCTACCAAGAATAGAGTCGGCTTCCTCAAGGAGATGGGTTTACCTGGCTATCGAGGTGAAAGTATCAATCAGCTCATCCGGCAGCTGAACTAAGCCTAGGTGAGGCAGGACAGTAAAGTGCCTTTGGGCTATTTTTTTTTTTTTTTTTTTAAGATAGAACTGGGGTACAGGCCAGAGGTGCTGGGGTGATGGAAGATTCACCAGAGACAGAATGGGGAGCAGAACAGGCAGATCAACGAAGTACACTGCTGAGGGGAGCAGCGGGCGGGTCAGGAGAGGTCTGCCGCGCTATGTGGATCTCCTCTGGGGCTGGGGCTCAAACTCATACTTAAGCAGCTGTGGCTAGCTTGCAGTGCTGTCCTAACTCATGTCACCAGGGAGGACCTGGTATAAATTTTAATGGACCATGCATTATTACTTAAAAACTATTTCTGTATTTACCAGTGTCAGAGTAACTGTGGAATTGGGGGGAAAAAGGATGCTGGTATTTATAAGTCTAATGGGTAGAGTCAGTCTTGAAACAGTGAATGGCCTCTTAGGACAAGGAACTATGTACATTTATTCTAGGAGCTTATTCTATAAGCTAGTCTTGAATTGAGCTTCTCACAGCTAACAATTTCATATTTCCATTGAAAAAGTCAGTATTAAAACCAATTTCAAATACACTTGAAATTATAGGTCAGAAAATGCCTAACAAAAACTGCTCTGTTGCTGTGGTCATTCAGATATAAGTGAAGAAAGAGTAATACTAACAATTTATCCAAAAGTGAAAACATTGTATATTCATTTTTATTTATTTATGCATATAAGAACGAGGTTCTTAGCCCAGAGATATGGAGGTGAGAGGATTCACCAGACACAGTGAATAGCAGAACAGGCAGATGACTGAAATACACTGCTGAGGGGAGCAGCGGGTGAGACAGGAGAGGCCTGCTGCACCAAGTGGGTCAGCTCCCAGGTGGGCTACCGAACTCTTGTTGCAGTGGCTGGTGACAACTTGATATTGCTGAGACTCCCTGCACCCCACTTTTTTTATTATTCTTGTGGCCAGCTTGCTGTAAATTTGTAGTAATGAATTGTGTTTTTTCTTTCTCAGAATGACAGCACAATGCATTGGAAGCATGTGTTTGGTTTTGGAATTGTCCATATCTTCAAAGAAGATTATTTCCTGCTTTACCTTCAGAAACTGGAGGGGAAGGGTCAGGGAGAAGGTGTTACTGTTCATGCAGGCATGTCTCGTCAAAACCCAGTTCTAAGAAAAAGTTCCTGTGTGTCTTTCACGTTGGCCTTTGCTACCTCCTCTAAAATGAGCAAAGGACTCGTGCTACAGAGGGAGTCCTGCCTTGTCCCACCTTATCTTGGGCTTTAATGTTGGTGATTGAAGACCAAGCCGAGTTGCATACCTGAACCTGGGGGTTCATAGAGTCTTGTTTTGGAAAGGACTTAAATATAACTAGTAGAAAACAAAAACCATACTCGGTTACCTGTGCTGTGAGTCTTTTTAACTTTTCAGTGACAGCTGTGAGAATTTGCAAGCTTGACTAGTTCTTAGTTTACCTCTTGGCTCCCTTAGCTCATCCTGCAACCCGCTTATTCATTCTTTACTCTAAGAAAACATGCATTAACTCAGTTTTTGCTTGGAAGTTAGCGTGTTCATAGATCCTTCTCCTTTAAGTGAGGACATCCTGCACTCTCAGAATTGACTTTGCTCATTTGCTCCAGGTCCCTGTCCTGTGAAAGACCAAAGTTTTTACCATGATGGCTTGTATCCTTCATACCAGTTGTATTTCCTATGAAAAATATTTGATGGGTTACTGAGACCTCATTCAGCTACAACTCTGAAGAATGCCCACGTAATCCAGCTGTCATGGCCAGGGGGTGGGTGGCTGGATTTTCTGATCTCACTGAGCTATTCTCTACCTAAAACCCAAATCCCTACGGTGACAGTTTATGACTTGGTGGTGGGAACTTTACAGGGAATATACAATGATGTAAAAGATACAAATGGGAAAATCCAGGAAAGAATGAGCCCTTTTCTTGGTGTGGCATGGATGAAATCAGTACCGCTTCATCCTTTAAGCACTAGGCAGGCAGCTTCATCGCACCCTTCGTATTGTAGACTTGGAAGTCCTGCCCTCAACGCTGCTGGCGCTACTGACCGACACGAGGGCTTCTGGAGATTATAGACCGGGAAGAAGGGGTCTGGGCCTGCCGTGTGCAGCATGTCCACCCGTGGAGGGGCCGCCTTTGCTCCTGTGGCGCAGGCTCTTCCGTTTGCCACCCAGGCCACAGGTGGGAGTGTGCCAGGCCCAGGTTAGCCTTTGTGTCCCCAGGTACCTTAAGATCAGCTTTGCTGCCGTTTTGGCACACACGGCCCTCAAACATAACTGTGAGATTAAGTTAGAGGTATAACAATGCCTTAAAATGTGCCAGGTTATGAGGTAATTAATTAGGTTTGTTAGCTCAAGAGTTAACTTGTCAGAAATACAGGTTACTCTAATACTGCAAAGCATTGTGAAATTAGATTACTTTAAAATGATGTATCAGAAAGTCATGGGAAAAGAGCTCTTGTGAGTGTGGAAGCCCAGGGTTGATGTCTCAGAGCTCTTAACACTAAATATGGGAAAGTTCCCGCTCTCACCTGTAAAATTTTGGGCTAAGATTGTCTAGCTTGGCTGCAGCATGTAGCTGTTAATAGGATTAACCCAAGTAAGTTGTACTTTGAATTCTATGTAAGCAAATGAGGGTATAAAAGATAGGCATTTCTGTATAATGTACCATAGTACCATTCCCTCACTAAATTGTGAGACCCCTTATTTATGGGGGAGGCTAGACTATGACATAATCTAGTTCAGTGTGAGTGGGTTCCTAAGTCACAGTTACTGAGTATCTTCTAGGCTTAGGGGAAACAAGTTGGAGGCAAGAAGAGTTTGAGGACCATATGGAGAATGAATGCCTTAGTGTATTTACAGCCACCTTCCCCAGCATTGCTGAGGGATTATCGTTCCCGTGCGTTAACCCTGTGGGGAGAGGGGAAAGAGCTAAATGAAAACATTAAGGCATCGCAGATAAAAGTGTAAGGCTTGTTCCAATCTATACGTACGAAGGTTTATTTTTTTCACCGATGATAATGGTCAGAAATGATACTAGAGACGCCGACGATCAGAGCTTGGCCCGTGGGCCGAAAGCCCAGGAGACGAGTAACACGAAGGCCAGTGTCCAGGGTCCCGAGTTGAGGCGGCTCAGCGGGCCCTCCAGCTGTGGGCTGCAGAGGATCTGGAGGCTCAGGAACGCAGCACAATCCGTTTGGGAGACGCAGTCGCCGCTTCGCCGAGCCGGGCTCCTCCAGGCGTGGGCCCTACCGGAACCGAGTCTAGGGTCGCGGCGCCGGGGCTTCCGGCGAGCCCGCGGCCTCCCAGGGCTTGGGCTTCCGGGGGAGCTGCGACGCGGTGGGCTCGTCAAGAGTCGCCGTGATGTGGCTCCTCTTCAGGCCCGGGAGCTCCCGGCCCTGCTGGACCAGCTGCAGGAGCTGAGCCAGGGTCACCGAGGCCGGGGCCGACCCTGCGGGCGTGGCAGTTGGGCCCGCCGGGCTGGGACTGCAGGACTGGTCCATAACCGCCACGAAGCAAGCCCGGGGAGAGGCGCACACTTCCGGGCGGGGCGGGTGCAACCACTGTCGGGGGAAGGGAGGGGGGGTGGGCCATACCAAGCCGGTCCAGAAGCGGGGAAGCGCTTCAAGTCCGTGATCAGCGACGCGCAGAAACGCTTCTCGCATGCACAGAATTTAGCTCTTCCCAAAGCCTCCAAAGTGAAGTGTGCTTTCAAAGGAACCAGAAGTGTTGCAGACTGGAATGTGCACGTGGACACACGGCGGGCATAAAGACCCACATTTGCACGGGTGCAGAACTACTGTCAGGCACACACAGAAGGGCACACCTATACAGGGACACACGTTACACACATGGCCACGGGATAATCTCCATCCTGGTCTCTGACCGCAGGGCCCGACAAAAAGGAGCGATCTCCGGCGACCTCGGGAGAACTGGGAATAAAAGACACCACTACAGAGCATGGTGCTCTCATTTCCGGCCATCAAGACCCTGTTCCTGGGCCTCCGTGGTGGTGCAGAGCTAACGACACAGCCAGGGAGGTGACCCACATGGCACAGCAGACCTCTCCTGACCACCTGCTGCTTCCATCCCTGTATTTCAATAGATCCACCTGTTCCACTCTCTACTCTGGTGAATCGGCTCACCCCACGCATCTCTGGCGTATACCCCAGTTCTTGAACATAAATAAATAAATCATTTAAAAAAAAATACCTTGTTCCTGGTGGTAGCAAATGGGATGAGAGGCGATGAAGGTAAGTGTGGGCGAGCAGTGCAACAGATGCTCGGGCTGTGTGGAGAGTCGGTGCCAACCATTCTCAGGTTTCTAAGGTTATCCATAGCTACCCTGATTAGGCGAACAACACTTTGATGGGGTAATCAAAGGTTTAGTTACTGTGAATGGGACACCCGACCATAGTGTTTTCTGCTGTGATGCACTGAGGATAGGACAGTGTGAAATACCACATCTCTTCTGGAGCCCTTCTGCCAAAGACGTTCACTCTGGATCTATTCTTGAGGAAATTAACACCAATGTTCTGCAAAATGACTGGCCTGGACATGATAGATGTCAATGTCATAAAAGACAAGAAAAGGAAAAGAAAAACTGGAGCACTCTGTCAGATTTAAGGAAAAATGACAACTGTGATTCTAGCTTGGACCCAAGATAGGGGATCAGGGAATCGGCCATAGAGGACATTTTAAACTTAGGAAAATTTTAATATAGCCTACATATTAAGTGATAGATAATATCAGCATTAAATTCCTCAGGGCAGTAGTAGTTACCTGAGAGAATGACTTTGTACATAGGAGAGACAAGCCGAAGAATTAAGGGTAAAATATCATGAAAGAGAAAGAAAAGAAACATGGTAAAATTGGTGAGAACTCGTAAATCTAAATGGTTTGAGAATATAAAATTAAAGGATTAGCTGGAGAAGCTAGTGTAAAGGAAATTGGCCATATTGAGTGTATAATAAAGAACTTGACTAGCTTTTGTCCCTGCTTCCAGAGAGAACCTGAAAGTACTTAAAATTTCCAACAAATTGAAGTGATCTATTCAAGGTGGGGCCTGATAGTTTATACCAATGAGGTCGCCCCTAAATAGTTTCAGGTCTGGGCTGTCCATCCCAGACGAACCCTGTGAGGGCAGGATTGAGGCTTTGAGCCTGTGAGAGCCTGGGTGGGAAGGTGATCTGAGATCAAGTTCAATCTCTACCAATGACTTCACCACCCATGCCACTATAATAAAACTCCAGTGAAATTCTGGACACAAGACCCAGTAGCTTCTTGATTGGTGAACTCCCCTATGTGTGAGGAGTGATTCCACAACAAGAGGGCACAGAAGCTGCCCTGTGTGTCTTCATATGGCTGGTCCTGCCGATTTATATCTTTTATAATGAAACCTTAATCAGGACTCTCTGGTGGCACAAAGGGTTAAAGCACAACACTACAGCACAAGTTTGATCCCCTGCCAAGGAGCTGACCCACATGGCACAGCAGTCCTCTCCTGACCCGCCCACTGCTCCTTTCAGCAGTGTATTTCACTCAATCCACCTGTTCTGTTCCCCAATCTCTGGTGAATCCTTTCACCCCCTACATCTCTGGCCTATACTCCAGTTCTTGCATAAATAAATATTTTTTAAATGAAACCTTTATCAAAAATAACACTTTGTAGGTTCTGGGAGTTGATCTAGCAAATCACTGAACGTAAAGGGGGTCAGGGAAGCCCCCAGTTTGTAAGCAGTCATTCTGAAGTGCCTGTGGCTTAAGTGACCCCTCTCAACTTGCAGCTGGCATCTGAAGTGAAAGCAGTCCTGTTGGGGCTGTGACCTTTACATTGTGGGGTACGCACCATATCCAGGTGGCTAGCACTAGAATTAAAATGCAGCCCAGCAGTCAGGGCCTGGTGAGAACAAAATACTATTGAAGGAGGATCTTGTCTTTCTCTCCATAGCCAGTGTCAGTTTCCTGGGCAATCTCCCACAGTTCTTGCTGAAGGGTTTGCTTTCTTAAATGATCTCTCTATGTCCTAAGTGGGGGAGCTCCAAGTTTCTTCTCCACCACTGCCTCCTTTCTACCAGCCAAGTGCAAGATGGAAACATTACTGTGAGGTCAAAGCCAACCTTCAGTGTCTTCCTGGGTGAAGGACCAAATATTCTCAGAATGAAGGAGAATGTGTTTGTGTTTGGGAAGTGGGAAGTTGTCTTAGCATCATCATGTTTCCTCTCTCACATTCTTTCATTGCTTCCTCAGCACAGCTCCATGTGATGGTCAGGACATGACTGGGAATTAGGGGTTGTCAGGAGGGACTCAGCCCCCTTCCATAAGGAGCAATAAAGTGAACCTATGAAAGGGAGTAAGAGGACTGG